TGTGACGATTCAAATCGGTTAAGATGCCAAACAAATCGTGATACATTTGGAGTAGGAGTTTTTATGAATGTATCTCTGAGGGGAAATGGAAGCTTTTAGCGCAAGTTCTACTAGGAAGACTTAATGCTACGTCACGCATTACAATTAGATCTAGCCAATCGTCACTCGACACAAGAAATATATAAGGTCTTTACTCACCCTTCCTTGTGTTTGCAGAAACTGACATTGACATCCCCTGCTCAAGCTGTCGCTTGACTTATTGCCCGACTTTCCCTGGCTTACTTGCATATAGTTAAGTTTGTCTTCTGTGAACGATTGCGAGTTTGACATTTCTCTCAAGATGCACACTAGATCGTTGGCATTGTGCAATAATGCTCTGGTGTCGTTGTGAATGTTTGCGGTTGTTTTACGGCAGAGGATGTGAAACATTGGCGGAGCTTTTTAGTTTACGTCCGCATCATTCCGAGTGCTTTCCGAGCTGTCGCGTCTCAATCAACAATATATTTCGCCTGTACGCTCGCATGATCCAGCATGAACAAAGACTCTCCGGGCCTGCTGTCGGAAACACGGCTGCTGGTCTCCTTCGTCATTCCGCCTTCATCACTTCATCAGCCTACTCTATTAGTTTTATGCACTTGTGGCGCTTGGGCGTAGATTTTATTCTCTGTAAGGTTTCTCACACACACAGGTGTTTGACAAAGCGCTTGGTGTTGCGTGATTGTTCTTGTATGAGGTTCATCTAGCAGACAAGCACTGCATAATTAACCTAATTTGAGCCTAGGTTGCTAGTGCGTTTTTGGGAGAAAAAAGTTAAATAGATTACCGTACTGAGTCCATAGTGCACGATTCATAGTTAACATAATGCTGAACGATTAATTTTTGCAAGCTCAGTGATACATTTAACCTACATTTAATAGAAACAAGAAAGACCATAAAATATTTCCAATACTTTTACTTCTATGAGGAGCATTACAAACCTGTTTCCAACCAAAGTTATAATATTTAACGAGATGTTTGCTAAGACTAATTCAATACATTCAATGTTTGGAACAACTCTTTTGTTATGAGGCATCTTGAGGCTCATTATTATAGGCCTTACAATCTTTATGCTGATAAAGACTTTGTTGCTCACATTATACCTTTCTGTAAAACACCCTATGTCTAGCACACCATAAGGTATTTGTTGTCTTAATCGTATGCTTTTGTCTTTGTTCCTTCAGTTATTGTTTAATTTGCATCTACAACAATCACTAGATGCCTTGTACCGGAATGGGGTAAGTTTTATGACTTTGTGTCTCTCCTGTTGCGTAGCCCATTTCTGCAAAGAGGTCCTCTCTGTCCATTTCTGCATGAGCGTCCTCTAAATAAGAGCAAGAATATAAACGGACACGTTTTCTTGCTATGCTCAAAACATTCAAGTTTTCCCGATGCACAATATATTGACTCTAACTAAGAATTTCATTATAGTTTTGTCTAATCTCATTATTCTTATACTTTTCTCAGGACATATCTATATTTAACATAATTAGCTTTAGCTTAGCTCTGTGGCATTAGTCTGCTCTGTTAATTAACTAGCTGGCACGTCTCTTTTTCTATGTGGTGAGCGTTAAAGTAGTCTATATTCTCTTGGAACTTGTACTTGTGAAGGCCTGTCTATGGTCTGTGTTTTACGTTCTTTCCATCAATAGAAATGACTTCCTCTCTGGATTTCCTGCTCAACTTTGTCAATGCTGGGACTTGGACATATAATTACTACATTTCTTTAAAAAAAAAATTGTGTATAAGGGCTTTCCTTATCATTTTACAGGATTCAATAGCTATCTAAAGTTCAATTAGATAGTAAGGCATCGTTTTCAAATATAAAGCATTATTTTCCTTCTGCAAGGGTAATGTACCACAAGATTTATTTTTCTATCTTTGTTCTAGTTCCATAAATCCCTAGTATCTCTTTAACTTGTATTTCATGCGATTTGGTTTTTCTGAGGGTTCACTTATCGGGTTGGTTAAATGGGGTCTTGTCAGAAGAGTCTATTAAGCTTTCGTTGGATTTAAGCCAGAGAATAGTTCTGTTTGTTACAGGTCTGATATTTATGCTTGTTATGCATATTTATGCTTTCCGTTTAAACTTAGCTACCACATTTGATCACTTTACTAACCTTGGCCATTTCATCACAATGCAGTCATTTAGATTTCCATGCCTGCAGATGCAGTGATCCGTGGCTCTCATCTCATCTTTACACGGGTCATTCTTTTGGACTGGCACTATTATGAATGCAGTCTCTATGAAGCTGACGTATACATGGTCATTCTCCCATTCGAGTCTAGGTAAGATTTGGCTCAATGCTCAGCAGGCACCTTTAATCTATAATTAAGGCTTGTTTATTTTTGCATCTACTGGTGATGGTTCATTATGTTTCCTCATACCTATTGGCTTCGGTCTTACTTGGACTTGTGGCCTTCACATTACATGGATTATTGTGACCCTTCGCATAACTCTGCCTATGGTGGTCATCAGGTAAGTTTGTCCATTACTGTTTATGAATTTTGGCCTTCACATATCATGGCCAATCGGGGCCTTCGCATAACATTGAGTATTTATTCTACTTATGGTCATGCTGATCTGGCTCTTTTTCTATTTTTGGGGGAGAGGTTTCCTCTGCAGGTTCCGGCAGTTAGATGGAGTTCTATCTAGCCTGTGCAGGAGTCTAGCCTAAAGAATGTTTATTATGTATCTGTGTATATGCTCTTCTTAGTCACTGTTAGAGCCCTAATACTACCTCTACTTAACCTTAACTAATGGCATCTCTAACACAATGCGGTGGTTTAGAATCCCTTTAACCCGCATCAAGCTGTTCTGTACATGATTGTTCTCCGCATCTGAGTTCCGTCAAGATCAGACTCTAAAACTATTTCATGTAATACTCAAGGTACAGTATGATACTCTTAGCAAGCTGCTGGTGGTGGTTACTTCTCACGTGCTCATGTCCAACCTATCATGGCTTTTCACATACCATGGCCTATTGTGGTCATTCACACACAGGGCTTTCACATTACATAGCTTATAGAAACATACACAGGCTATCAATGCAATTGCCAGCCCGTAGGAGCGTCACACTACGCAGCCCATCGGGCCTTCACTTTACATGACCTATTAAGGCTTTTACATTACACAGCCTTTGTGACTTTCGCTCAATATGGCCTTTGTGACCATCAGGTAAGTTTGACTATTATTGTTTGTAACTCTGCCTATCATTGCCCTTCACAAAACTGACCTATAATGGCCTTATCCTTATGTGAACTACTTTCTGCGTTAAATGGCATAACGTGGCCTGTTATAAGATTACAGTCGTGTTTATTAATATTTTATATTTATGCTGCCTGTCATAAAATTTAATGCTGTACATTTAAGGTAAATTCTCTGTGGCCTATCGAGGCCTTGTCTCTGTTTGGCCTATCGAGGCCATTTTGTCTGCGG